TCTTAATCTCTCGTTCATGAACGGAAGAAAACACGATCAGCCGAACTAAATTCTTTAGAGTTCACAGCAGAGACAAGATTCCGATTTGTTCTCACATTTGACGATTTTAATGTCTGAAATTTGTAGAAACTATCGACCATCTGAACCTTCCTTTCGGACTCCGGCTACGAAGTATGAACAACTGTCTTGTTGGGGTGAATCATGAGGTATGTGGAAGTTTTTGAATTCGCCTGAATTCCTTCTAAGAAGTGAGAGGGTTTTGAGGCCCAAAATGTGGCATTTAATCGAGAAGAAATGCCTAGTACCCGGTTAAAATACACTGCGATATGAAGGAATTGCTCGTTGATGGTAGCATCGTCACCGAAGACGTGTCCGAGCCATTGCTGTGCTCGTGGTCAACGGCATCGGAAGCTGCTGGAGCTGACGCATCTAAACTTGTGCCTGGAGAAAACGTCGTCCGAATAAGGCCATATACACGTTTGCGGATCGATGCCGTGGGCATCTGAAATAGGCTGCGATCGATTGATTGATTGATTTGATCGGAAGTACGTCTTGACCTGTGATACACAATTTGATCATTACATCGCATAATGCTCACAGCTAATCGCTCGTACAGGTTAAGTTATGTATTAATGACAATATTACTGATGTTAATAATAAAGATAATCCATTATAATGCGTATTAACATGAACTGCAATTAAAAAATCTATTGAACTGCTTGAATACTTGTACAGACTGACATGTACTAATATAATAAAGGTAAGACTGTCAGTATTTCTTTCTAAGAGAGCTGCTGAATCAATTGCTATCGGTAGATCGAAATCGCTCATCCCATTAAAGGTAACCGGATCTAGAAATAAGGAGGTGGTAATTATTTTCATTAAAAATGAAATTTTTCGTTCAAAGAAGAAAATGTTCGCTGCTGAAATAAAATGATTGAACACTATATTTTCTTATACTTATTGAAAATAGCAAATTTCCCTTATTCTCCTGTTTTCTAAACAAGATTCTCGCAGTCGAACACAAGAAAGCAACGGAC